TTAGTGGAGTCTGTAACCTGAAGCGTCTGTAACCTGAAATGTCTGTAACCCGAGGTACCACTGTATTGCATAAAATAAACTGCAAAGATGATCCCATGCATAGCTCATCTGAAAACTGAATTTGGTCTCTTCCCACTGCTAAACTGCCACCAGCTGCAGAGATATCAGAGAGTTCCAATAAAAATGGAAACAGGACCAGAAACTGCCAATGTTGCTTATTCATTCCATGTCCAGAACGGAATTCAATTCGGCAAATACTATTGGTATTAAATGTCATTGTTGCTTTCAATCCGCAAATTATATACAGTGGTACCTCTAGTTACGAACTTAATTCGTTCTGGAGGTCCGTTCTTAACCTGAAACTGTTCTTAACTAGAGGTGTGCTTTCGCTAATGGGGCTTCTTGCTGTCGCTGCGCCACCAGCACACGATTTCTGTTCTCATCCTGGGGCAAAGTTCTCAACTCAAGGTAACACTTCCAGGTTAGCAGAATGTGGAACCTGAAGCGTTTGTAACCTGAGGCGTTTGTAACTTGAGGTACCACTGTATAATTGTTTACGTTCTCTCCGCCCCATTTGTATTACCGTATGTTTCCTTCATTGAAATGAATTGGGTGGAGAGAGAGAAAGACAATGTAATTATATAACGAATTGTGTAAATTATGTATTTTCAGCACAGTGGACAGAAATAGTGTACAGTAGTACCTCTAGATATGAACGGGATCTGTTCCGGAGCCCTGTTCGCATCTAGAGGTAAACGTATCTAGCGACGGCAGGTCTGCGCACGCGCACGCCGCTTTTCGTCGCGTCTGCGCATGCACAAGCGGCGAAACCCGGAAGTAATGCACTCCATTACTTCCGGGTTGCCGCGGAGCGCAACTCGAACACGCTCAACTTGAAGCAAATTTAACCCGAGGTATGACTGTAGTTTTTAGCAGAAGATGAACTGCAACAGAACATAAACAGTGCTGCATGTGATGAATGCAGGGCAGAACAGAAAATGATCCCTACACTCAAACAGCAAATAGCAGAAAACCACAAGCTGACGAGTTTAGTGTAGCATACATAGCAAAGGTTCCAGATGCTAGTGATATATTTACTTACCAAGCTTGACAGAATTCTTCACAGTCAAGAGAAAATTCTTAAAAGAAAACACTATGTGCGCCTATAGTTTTTCAGTCATCTTGGTAGAACATTGGCCACCCTGTAAGCAGTGCTAGCCCTGCCATGCAACTGGATGAAGGTACCTGCTTCAGGTGTGGCACCATGAAGAAGGATAGATGAAGAAAGGAACTGATGTTTGTATATTGCAGCAAGGTTTTTGTTTTCAGTGTTGGCCCAAGCAATAGGGAGATGCCATTTGGGCTCCACTTCAGGCAGCAAAATGGCTTGGGCCAACACTGACTGAAAGTGCCATTTCATTCTTTCTCTGAGTGTAATCCAGTCTTTGTGCCCCAAACTTTAGTGACGGCAGAAGAAAAGCGGTGCTTGTGGGTGCAGTGGAAATCTGGTACATAATCCACGCAGTCCTTCTGTGTACTGATGACTCTCCTAAAAGTGATGTATTTTTGGGAAGGGGGGAAAAAACAGAAAGGCCTGGAATGTTATCTCTCTGAATGCCCTTTCATATCATCACTGACAATGAAAGCTGATGTTTCACCTTGTGTGCCCTCCTCCAGCTTTAACATAGAGATCAAGTCACTTTCTGGAGGCTGAGCAACTGCATTTCCTGTAACCCAAGCTTCTTGCACCTTGTGATGGAAAAAACAATTAGGGCAAGGAAGAGCAACGAAAAACATCTGAGTATGAAAAAAGAGAAAAGAATGTGAATTAAAAAGAATCAAGGGTGGAGGGGACATACTTGATGGATTTCCCTCTTTTTGATAAATTAAAGTAAGATGGCTTTGGAATGGGGAAGAATGGCTGGAAGCCAGGGATTGGACTGCTTATTTTGCATCATGCCTGGTGCTTCCCTTGGATGCTGTGGGCATTTGCCAAGAAGCAGATTAGGACCAGTGAGAGAAATATTTAGTCATAGTGGAGGGCCCACACAGGTTCCATCTGCCTCATCCAACATGCAAGAATATGGGAGGTATAGGATAATCCCATGGAAAAGCAGGTTTCACCACTGTACAAATGAAGCTAATTGTGGGAACATGAGGTAGGGACATCAAGGCCAGAAAAAGAAAAGCGCATAAATATAAGATCAGAAATGCATCAAATCCAGCATGTGGGGAGCCGCTTTAACCAAAATTTATGAATTGGGAATGAATTGGTATTTGAGTAATTGTATTTATTGGGAAGCAATTGCTATTGTTATAATTGGGCTATTATAGGAAAACTAATAAAAATTTATTTGGAGGCAATGAGATAGCATGTCCCTACAACAGCTGGAAAGGAAGGGTGGCAGTAGCAGAGTAACAGCTTATTCAGAAGCACATTATCAACCTTCCTCTATTCTTGAAGAAATTAGATGAGTTAATTTAAAATCTGTAATGCCTTTATGTAATGCTTCTTTAATGTGCCACAATATTACAATTTTGTTTAAGTATTAAATAATATTTGCTTTGGAAAACAAAAACAAATGTGCATTATTAATGAACAATGACAACAAAAATTTACAGTTCACGTAAGGGTAAGTTTTAACCAAGGCTTACAAAGGGAAAAAACAACCTTCATTTAACTGCTAGCCAAAGATATTTATGTAATACATTCCTGGTCATTTATTTATTTATTCAGAGATTTCTCTACCGCCCATCACCAAAAATGGTCCCAATGTGGTTTACAAAAAGAAGAAGAAAAGGGGTTATTTAAAAACGTAATACATAACAAAAATATTAAAATATAAGGTGCAATTCTCATACATTACATAAATAATATAATTAAAAGCACTATAAGATAACCCATCAACCACTAAAAGCCTGGTGAAAAATGTACTGTTCCTATTTCTTATGATTAAGAGTGATATATATCTTTCTTACAGCATATTGAACTGGTCCCTAATGGGTTGTATAAGATCTTATAGAACTGCCACTTCACTAGTGGAAACGAGCTATTTTTGGTGAGCTTGGAACACGCAGACCAGGAGGAGACCCCAGGAACTCCCACTACAACCATGGAAAACTCCAAAGGCATAAATGCTTCTGTGGTGGTAAAAGGCAAAAAAAAAAAGGTTGTGTTGAGAGCTGACCAGGAGAGGCACTGGATCTGCGAGAGCCAAAGCCCCCTTGTTCTTTTGAAGGGTGAAAGAAGAGTTAAAAAGTCTACCTTCCCCAGAGCTGGCACAATTATCAGGGTCAATGGAAGAGAGGAGGAGGTGGGAGGCCAAATAGGAGGAAATGGAAAATGTACGCACACATATGCACACACCAGGTCCCCGCCCCCTGCCTTACACAAGCTGGTTGTTTCTCTGCCACAGAATCTCTCCTCCATTGCCCCTTTAGGATTGCTTTGATACAGCACAATCCTATGCTTCTACTCAGAAATAAGCCTCATTGATTACAACAAACCAAAAGATTTCAAGATTGGAATTCTGCTACATTGCATTGGGGCCAGACATGAGAAAATATTTTAAAAATGCTGAATATACATGCAAATATAACCAAGGCCATCACCCTCACCAAAGGAAGGAGAAGAGCTGCTATTACAATCCGGGGCTGCTCTTAAAGAGATAGGTCATGAATGCTACAATTGATTACCATTCATTTCTCTTAAGCCCTCCCTGGGAATGTGGCAGCCCCACCTGCACAGATGTCTCAGGCAGAGATGATAAATTATAGACAAAAGGTTAGCAGGTAATGCTGCTGTTGTCTATCTGAAGTAAAGGTGCTTAGATCCACAGATCAAATGGGTCAATATTCAGAAACGTATGACCATTTACCATGGCGGAAAGAAAGAAAAACACCAGCAGAATCTGTTGGCACAAAGTCATGCAGAAGTTTGAAGAAAAATGGCAGTTCTATCTCCCTGAAATTATATGTGGTTTTCATGCTGTCACAGATGGACCCTCAAGAGTTTCAGGTGAAGATGAAATTGTTAAATAAGTAAAAATCTAAAAGGCTCCAGGCTAGTTTTGAATAACAGCCTACCCTAATGATCAATGCTGTGTACAACTTGCAGAGCATAAACAGCAGTGAAGTCATAAGAGAAAAATGGAAATCCATACCATTTTATGTATTATTTATCCAAAGTTTTGGTCTTTTTCATCTTCTCTTCAGACATTATTGCCCTCCAGTGATAAATGTGTAAAGACCAATAGCAGAAATGATTTCAAGTCCCCAAGGGAGAAATGCTTTGTCACTGCAACTGCATATATATATATATATATATATATATATATATATATATGCATACACACACACACATATATGGCAGAAGTGAATTTCTTCCTTAATATTGTGCAGAAATATTGTGCTTTACTTCAGTTTCACACTTTTATGTTTGTGTGATAACCATCCACCTTTTCTCCAAGCTAGACTCAAGTCACATTTGTCAGCAGCTATATACAAAAAAGGGTGATATCTCTAGAGAAATGTGAACAAAAAATGGAAGGCCCTAGCAAAATTCTAGGCATGCAGCCAAAGTATACATGCATAATCACATCCTTTTATTATGTAAAAATTTAATTTAGCTCACTGCTGACACAATTTAGAAAAACTAGCCAGTCCAAGCACACATACTGAAAGAGAAGAGGAGGAATGAAAAATTCATTTTTAGTAATCCAGCCTTCCCCAACTTGCTGCCTTTCAGTTGTTTTGGACTACAACTCCCATCACTGATGGAGCTAATGGAAATTATAGTCCAAAACATCTGGAGGGTTAGAGGAAGGCTTTAGTAATCCTTTCAGCACCCAAGCACAGAAGGAAATGTACTTGCCTATTACATGTCAAGTAGCTTAACGTGGCATGCATGGCTCCCCACCCTTACCCCCCAAAACCCAACTTTATCATCACAGCAACCTTTTGAGGTGGCTTAGCTTGGTACATGGTTATCCAGTGAGTTTTGTAGCTAAGTAGGGATTTGAACCTAGGTCTCCCGAATCCAAGTCCAACACTCTGACCACTAAATTACACTGGCTTCATTACTTCTCAAATGATCTTGAAAATGCAACCAGAGGTACAGTGCTAGATGGGAATTGGGTAGAAAAGAAGAAAAGAGGTGATGACTTAGCATTGAGCCTTTGAAGCCTATGTCCTGGGGTCTGAAAATTGTGCACACTGAAGGCCAGTGGCACTTTCAGTGCTTGGGAAGTCCATTTTTAACAGGAACTAGTTCCAGTTCATAGATCACAGAGTTGGAAGGAACCACGAGGATCATCTAGCCCCAACCCCTGCAAATGCAGGAATCATCTCGTCCAAAAAAGGAACTAACTCCAGTTCCAATTCATCCTTTTACAAAACAAACTAGTTAAATTCAAGTTCACCCAAACACTCATTTTACCCTTTGGGAACACCCTAGTGCAGCTGAGGGAGCTCATTTGTTCTGTTTCAAAGTGGTTTGCATTCAAGCAGCTTCTGAAAACGGTGCTAGGAAGGGGTTTGAAAGGGAGAAAGCTCCTCCAAAGGCCCTCTTCCAGCATTGATCAGCTGAGTGGCCCTGGGAGCCATCCTTCAAAAGGGCTTGCTGCCCTTGCTTGAAGTAGTTTGCATTCAAACTGCTTCTTAAAATGGGGCTTTTTCCTCCTCTGCTGCTTCTACCATAGTCTAACTTGCTGATTTTCTTTTGCCTTTGAAAACTATTTTTACAGTTTCCTTTATATAGTTAGTTATTTTTAGGCACATGAAAATATTTCACTTTTTTTTTTTTAGTGTCCAAAAGTATTTCAGAAAGGCAATAATTCTGAACAGCAACTATTTTATTCTCTTTTGAGAAAAGCACACATCAGAGATGTAACATTTTAAACTGAAAAACTGTAAAACAACTCATACTGTTTTACTGGCTTCTGTATAACTAAATTCTTAAAAAATCAGTGGTTGGGTCCAGTAGGGTGGGATTGGGGTTTTTTTGGTCCTGCTCTTATCTAACATAAAGTACTGCTTTCATTTTAGGGCTCTCTCAACCCCTGCCTTACCCACCTCTGAAAGCAATTTAAAAGAACTCAAATTAGAGGCTGTCTTTAGAGAATAACTAATCAGTGTCATGTCCTCTGGGGTTTGAAGTTATAGCAGCCACTAGCTTTTTCTTGTCTAAAGTTGCAATTTTTACATCACAGCCTCTCAGTGGTACATGCCATTCATGTCAAACTTGAGTCTGGAGTCATTTTGTATCTGATCAGTTCTCTCTTTCCCATCCCCTACCCGTGCCCCACCCCCGCAAAGGAGTGTTCATGATATTCTCCACTTTTTAAAATTCTTTTTGTGCCAGCTGCTACCCGGCAATCTCCTTGACTGACAATATGCCTGGGTTGTTGTGGATGGTGCAAAACGGCAGCTGAGTGGCCAGCACTATTGCTACTGCTGCTCCTTGCCATGGCAGCAAAACATGTATCAGGAAAGGAGAAAAAGCTGTGCCAGTGCCACTGCTAATGTCCACCTCAGAAAAACTGCTAGAGAATTTATTCTCCTCCTGGAGAAATGTGGTATAGGTAAATTCCTCAATTCCTTTGCCCATAAATAGGGTGGAAAAATGGAACAAGCCATTTGCTCACAGCTCCACTACAGTCACACTAAGGATTAGATGTCTGAATCAGTTAACTCAGACCTGCTACTGAAGTCATATCGGGGGGGGGGGGTTCTCCAGTAGCCTGCCTTGCAATGGCCATTGAAGGGTGGCACATTAGCAAACTGACCATGACATAAACTATTTCTTTAAAACTGAATAATGTTAACTAGATGCTCACTTATTGTAGCATGACTGGAACAACTCAAACGTGTGTACTATCCAGATAATGCATTTGCAAGATGCAAAAAGAGTGGATGGGTGGAAACATAGAAAACCTTATCCTGAGCAAGACCATTGGTCAACCAAGCTCAGTTATATCTGCATTGACTGGCAACCACTTTCCAGGGTTTCAGACTGGGTCTCTTTACCAGCTATACCTGGAGATACCTGGGTTTGAACCAGCAACCTTCTATATACAAAGCTTGTGCTCTAGCACTGAGCTATGGTCAGTGAGTAATGGTGGGGAATGGAAACCAACCTTCCACTTGTATATGCAGTAACATTTTACAATGATAAACCCCAAAATTTCTTCCAAAGGCAAAAGAGCCAGTGTGGGGTAGTATTTGGGAGTGCTGGCCTAGTATCTGGGAGACAAAGGTTCAATCCGCACTCGCCCATGCTCCTCACTGGGTGACCTAACCTACCTCAAAGGATTGTATTGAAAATGAAATTTAGAGAACTATGCATGCCACCTTGAGCTCCTTGGATTAACGCTGGGATATAAATGTAAAAATAAGAATGAAATGAAATGAAAACAGGCACAATGTTTTGTCCAGGGGAAATGGGGATTAGACAGGCAGAATCAGCCTTCATGAATACTCTTTGAAGCACTTTGATTCTGAATAGTCATGTCAAGGTGTACTTATTTTATGAGCACACTCAAAATTTGAGCAAAGGTAGCTTTGGATAGAATGGGTGGTATGCAACTGGCATGACTCATCAAATGAAAGGATTTTGGCTTGTGCAATAGGGCTTCTCCTCCCAATGCACACCTCATGCCCACCCCAGATCTACTCCAGAGGGTTGGCAAGGAACCCCAGAACAGATTTAGTGGGCACATGGGGGGAGAAGAGAGTGACAAGTCCCATTGCACAAAGGGAAATCCTTGCGCTGAGAGAAGGCTTACTTAGATACTTTAGAATACCAATGAAACTGATCAACAGCAAGAAGTGCAAGCAACTCATTCTGTTTGTCCATTTATCTATTTTCGCACTGTCTCAATTAGAATGAATACACATCCTCTTGCTGTGAGATGACCATGCTTCTAAGGAAAGGACAGCTTGTGGTGGTTCTGTCAGGTGCTTGTTCAAATTCTGCTTCAGAAATATACAGAAATGCTGTGCAGGAAGAATGACAAACCCTTCCTTTCTGCTCAAGGATTTGAAGTCTGAGCTGTGGCTATAAAGCATTATCTCCCATTACCCAATCCACACACCTGTGAAGTTGCAGTTTGGCTCCTTTTGATAGGAGGACATGCTTGGCAGCCACTTGTCTCTTCTTCACAACAATATTTAGCATTTAAATAGCTTACTTTCAGTATTCTGAGGGCTTTCCATATATTCTTTCAGTAATCCTTACAACTGTCCTGTAAAACAGGCTAGGATTAGATGGGACTTTTTTAAAAAACATCTTCAGATGGCAGTGGCTCCCTAAAGTCTCCCAAGAAGATGGGAGAAGAGAGGAGGCTGAGGGGACATTTCACAAGAGAGGGTGTTTGAGAAAGAATGAGAGGCTGCCAGCTCTGCAGGCAAGGGCTCCTGAGCCCCACAGCGATGTCACAGAAAGAATGTACTTGGACAAGGGAGCAGTGGACTCAAAACAGTTGAAAACCTCTAAACTAAAGGAATGTGCTGCTGGTTCCTAAGGTACCAGAATACTTTTGCCTTCTTGTTTATACAGACTTAACACAGCCATTTCCCCAAAGTACATAGTTTGAGGATTTCACAACAGTGCCCTTTTTAATCCTACCGCCAGCAACTCATATCAAAGTTTCTGCCACAGCAGAATTCTATCCTGCCCACATGTTATCTTGGGAATTATGCAAAGAATAGATAACACGTTTTCCTGCAATTTTTAAAATGAGCTCATATGAAATATGTGATCGATTGGAGCAGTTTATCACAGCATTGTCTTGAAGCACCTCCACAATATTTCTTAGGTTTCTATATAACCATATTTTCGAAAATTCATAACAAAACCATGAAAAATCTCTGCAGGCTGAACATTGTATTAAAATGTAATATCTCAAATCCTGTGAAATCTATAAGACAGTGGATTACTGCCCTGAGGGAACCTCCTATCATTTCAGTCATTTGGAAGTGGGCAGAAGAAAGCATTTTAGTGAACACTCTTAGGAACAATCCCATTTTTTCGGGTGGGGGGGAATGGATGAAATACTCATCCTATGACTCTCACAAATATATGCACATGCCTGGTCCCACTGAATTAACTACAGAGCTGCCTCTGGTTATTAACTTAATTCGTTATGGAGGTCTGTTCTTAACCTGAATTTGTTCTTAACCTGAGGTACCACTTTAGCTAATGGGGCCTCCCGCTGCCGCTGGGCCGCTGGCACGTGATTTCTGTTCTCATCCTGGGACAAAGTTCTTATCCCAAGGTACTATTTCTGGGTTAGTGGAGTCTGTAACCCGAAGTGTTTGTAACCCGAGATACCACTGTACAGTGGTACCTCGGGTTACATACGCTTCAGGTTACAGACTGTGCTAACCCAGAAATAGTACCTTGGGTTAAGAACTTTGCTTCAGGATGAGAACAGAAATTGTGCGGCGGCAGCATGGTAGCAGCAAGAGGCCCCATTAGCTAAAGTGGTACCTCAGGTTAAGAACAGTTTCAGGTTAAGAACAGACCTCCATAACGAATTAAGTTATTAACCCGAGGTACCACTGTACACAGTAATTTTTCAAGTTGATAAGATTCCTACCTTGGGTTTATTTAAATGTTGCTCTCAGAATTGGAGAAACACAAAATTAAGCCTTTTGCACTATCAGATCTAGGGTATCATGTGTGATGATGTCATTGTCTTTGAGTCTCAAGGTATTCATGTGAAAAACTACTTTCTATTACTGGGGAGAGGGTACATTTGAAATGAGCATTCTGATCAGTTTGGGTTTTTAACTATTTTAGATGATGATTCCATAAATCTGTCAAAGTGGGCTCTTGCCCCTGAAAGCAGTTAAAAACCAACTGCAGCAAGAAATGCATAAGGTTTCATTTTAAACAATGCCCACTGCTTGCCTTCAAACTGCCAGTGTTTTGCAGGAGGTGTTCAGGTACATACTGGAAATTTAGGTTTATGCAAATAAAGCTGATCAAAATGCTCTGTTGCCATAGTGCAACATATAAACTTGGAAAAGTAAACAGGCCATTTGCAGTTAGGAAAGTAATGAGGAAA